CGCACAGTGCGCCCGCGAGTGCGGTAACTGCGGGTGCGGGCAGGCACCCACGGTCCGGCGCGCCTGGCACCCGCTCCCCCCTCCCTGCCTGGCGGGGCTACTACCGTACTTTCACAGTTATGGAAAACAAAAGTTGTTTTTCTCTCGGTAATTAAACCTGATTTGTTAATTGTCTTTCTCTTTTGCAATGTTGCTTTCATCTTAAGAAGCGACACGTTATTATTTTGTCTGCTTAATAATATTATGTACCAACTAGTACTTTATTTTTTACATTAATGGGACACCTAATTATGCGTCTGCTTTAATTTGTATCCTTTCTTCAGCGGGAATAAAAACCCTCAGAAAGCTTATCTACAAGATTGACTTCACAAAGAGCGTATAAGTAGTTCCGTCTACTCGTATGCTTTACACAAGGTGGTTGTTCTTAAACCCATCAAAGTTACCAGTAAGCAGATAAGCTGCATCTGACGTTTCGTGCAATCCACCTACTGCTTTTCATTGCTATTATTTTGCTCTGCAACTTTACGCAATTATTTGGACTTTTCTATCATCTGCTGCTCTTCTTGGCAAGCTGAAGTGTCTTCCCACCCCCTTTCTTCAACACAACTTTTGTTTGAGGACCCTAGGGTTAAATGCAGCACAATTTTGTCTGTTTAAGGCTGCAACAACTGACCGCTAATTCGTTCTCACATGAGCAAAGATATTACCATACTAATATTATTATTGGTAAGAAGAGGTAATTGATAACACCACCTGCCACTCTGCAGCAATCACGATGATAAATGTTTCCATCAGAGGGAAATCTGTGCTTGGTCTACCACAGCCTAACCCAAACAGCATGTCAAATGTCAATTATAAAGATGTTTCTTTTCTATTACAATTTTTTTGTAGAAAGCAACTAGCCTCACCACCAGATTTATAGAAGCAGTCTGCAGCCCAGTCGTGTCTGAACGTTCTGCCTTAAACATTTAAGTTAGTTTTCCTTTTATTTAATCTCGTGTCACTCTTAGATCTAAACAAATATCGATTCATATACACAAAAGCTTATGCTCATACTTAGCAAACGCCAATTACCACCCACTTCCTTTCTTCAACCTAACAGATGATACATGAATTTAACCAACACATTTTAAATACCACGCTCTATGGAATATTTATATTACACATACTTATGGGGATATTATCAAGGCAACACACCTTTAAGTCCATGTATACATACCATTCACACATACAGGTTCATTGTTGGTGTCTATATCAAAATAGTAAATCTGTATTGTAACACATACCCGTCAGCACATAATTAGGCAGGTACATGTAACGGGCGTATAAAATCAGCACTTCTAGCCCCTTTGCAGAAATCTGTTTGCTACTGAAAATGACTAGTGAGATGAATATTAAAGTTTATATATGTATATATACATGCATACCACACACACACACACACACGCGATGTAACATTGTTCAGTAACTCTAGCTGTATAAATAGTGCCGTCATGTATAAAAACTTCCATCCCCTTGGCTACAGATATGCTCAGAAGATTATTATTAGTTTGTATTAATAGATGCAGGCCTCAAAAGACGAAATCAGCTATTGATAATTGCAAGAAGTATACAGCAGCTACTGTATCGATCGGCTTGTCCCTTATTCCCCTGGTATAGGAGAGATAAGAAGACACACTCTTTAGTGCAATATAATTTCTTTTGACCTATCTGCTTGCTACAGACTTATGATGAATAGCCAGAGTGGTTAAAGTCCTTTATCACGAAAGTTACCCCTTGATATAATATTGATTCTTTATAACTAGCTCCAAACACAAAAATCAAACTGTCCACTTGACCATCATCATCATCAATATCATCACAAAGGCTCTGGAATAAAGATCAGCACAGGACTGAAAACGCTTTCTATAATCTGCCCACCTAATCTTTATTTGCTGATGATGAAAAGAAAAGGGGGGTGTGTGTGTGTTTGTGTGCGCGCACGCCCGTCCGGGGAGGGAGGGGGCGAGTGCAGCAGAGAATGTCATCTGAACAAATAATAATAATAAAAAATATACTAAGTCAAAAAAGGGACCGTTCAGCCACTTTCACAGGAAACCAAACGATGCTGAAGAAGTTAATGCTCCCGCTTCCAGCCCCTGCTCTCCCTCGGAGGGGAGGCAGGCGCTCGGCAGGCCCGGTGTTATATTATACTCGGGGCTTCTTTTCCCCCGAGCGAAGTGGTCTGCACTGAATACAGAGTTATGTAAGAAGCGGTCGCGGCAGAAGTGGTATCAGGCAGCGTTTCCCTTGCTTAGAGTCAGTATTAACAAGTCTGCTTCCCACTTTCTCTAATTTTGCCGTTCCACGAAGCGATCCATCATTTATTTCCAGATCACCTGGTGATCCGTTAAAAAAAAAAAGAAAGAAAAGAGACAAAAGAAAGAAAAAAAATAAACAAAAAGGGAGGCTAGGAAAAAGCCGCTGATGTTTGGTTTGACGCCTAACGTACGAGATCTATAGGGTGATGCAGCAAAGAAAGAGCATACTCCGCGCGCACCCAGCCTGCCTTCTGCCAGCGGCGCTGCCCTCGCCGCCGCACCGGCGCGCTTTCGCTCGGGGTTGCATTAGCACAATCACCAGTAATTACAAGCGCGTGTACACGGGGAGAACGGAGATTGGGAAGGTGGGAGGTAGGACGTGATCCCCCTTCGGAGCAATCAGGACGGGGAAAGGTTTCATTCCGTGCAGCCGGTACGTTGATCACATTTAATGGGCTAGTTAGGCTCGCAGGCAAAGCCGGGCTACCGTTTCGGCGCAAGTTTGCGCTTTTCAGGCGAGAAGGGGCGG